CCTCCTCCTCCTCCTCCTCCTCCTCCTCCTTCTTCTTCTTCTTCTTCTTCTTCTTCTTCTTCTTCTTCGACCGCATTCCCAACGACATGGCCACCAAGTGTATTAATTGAATAATGACTTACGAGGTTCAAACATACAAGACTTTCATCGTGTTTATCCTATATTATATTCCAGCTGAACCCACAATCTCCGGCTCTTATTTGCCTTTTTACAACTATACAGTAGCGCAACGCAATGAGTGCGGGCCCGCCCTAAAAACCATCATCCGGGCTCCCTACATAAAACTGTGTAGAATCACAAGTAGTGTTAGGGCCTTAAATAATAAAAATATCCTTTTACAAATTCATATACATCCTGGTCTATGATTACTTCATACGAAATCAATGTCACTAACAGATATTATTGATTTAGAAACAGGGTTACAGAAGTCACCAAAGCGGGAACACAACTGTTGTTCTGGATGATGGTATTTATAATATATTATTGTATCAACTATCGCAAAGTATCAGAAAAGGAATCAAGGAATTAATTTTTCTCACAATCTCTAAACCATCAGCAAAAAATAAGCCCCCTGTTACCTGGGCCCACCCGAATTGCGGGTCTTGCTGGTTTAAATTTTTATTGTAAATTAAAGTACATATTTCAGAACTGTTAGGGCATAAATGCATATTTTTAAGAGCATATTTCAAGATTTTTTAGGATATAGACATCCTCTCCCTAGTGATCATTTTCGACCATTTCTTCATGCCTTAGAAGTTACATTTATAATGAGACACCCGCACATTTACACAGAGTTGAAACATTTAAGAGAGGACCAGTTGTACATTATGATGTATACATTTAACAAGTTCAATTTTAATTTCAGGCTTCAATCGTAAACTGTTGAAAAATAATGATGCATATGAAAAACGCGGTTCGTCAATTCAGGAGTCATGCAAATCTCTCTGGGAGTCAGTAGTTCCACTGGTTAGAATTTCTTGTGATTACGAGGAAGTGATTCAAGATTTTCCGTATCAGTTCTCGTTCCCAAACTCATTTTGCATCAAGGTCTTCATGAATATTGACCTTTGATTTCAAAATCGTTAGCAACCGATAGCCAATGAAGACTGAAATATGGCAAGATATACTTTATTACCTCGTTAAGAAATCGGAAAAATCAAGTGTGATCTCTATGCCTACCGATAACCTCTTGGATTACAGTGCCAAATAAGTTTCGATCACGTCGATCTGTTTGTTCTTCGCATGATTGCTTTCTTATGAGACAATGTATCGACAAGTTGTGTGGCTCTTTGTTTCAACCAAAAGTAGTATACAAAATCGACGCATAGCGCTAGTGTAGCGTTGTAAATTGAATCGTTATTTGGCAGACGTAATGGGGAAAACATGTGAACATTGAGCAGGACTGGTGCCGTATTTGATTCTCAATTGAGGGTTGCTTGCGGTCGATGAAGGTCGTACAAGAGGAGAAGCAAAATGGCAAATTTCTCTCCGCAGAACGTCACACCCATTTTTTAACTGTTTCTGACGTAAAATAAATAATTTTTTAAAACTCCTAGCTCTTTCTATATGCATATTTTTGTTTGAGACCTACTGCTACTAGTGACCATAACTTCGTGGATGACAGTTGCACCTAGATTTTATAAAGTTTGCTGTTTTATTACATTACAGTTAATATCTAAAAATACTGATGTTTCAATGTTATTTTTTTATATCTTACATATTAAACATTTTCTAGTATTTAGTTTCTATCTCATTCGTTTCCATCCAGACCTTTGCAAACGCGAATGAAGCTGTAAAATTTTGAAGTTTTAGTAAGGCGCGTAATTTTGCCTCCATCATAGCAAACTTCAATTTGCAGTGGAGAAGGATAGTCCTTAGCATAGGATTCTTGGACCTAGGCGCAAACATATTAAGATACAAATGTTTTTATTAATGTATTTGCGTCCAAAACATTATCAACAATATCTGGCATTTGTGGAGGGGGAGGAATCTACATTTTTTCTGCAGTAGGAAAAAAGGTGTTTTTCATTGTCTTTCTATTAGGAACGTGAGAATAGTGCATCTCTCCGACAGGGATGGGGGTGTGACACAAATGACAATTGACATTGACAATGAATGATTAAAATAAAATTGAATTGAATGTTTACGAGCACTACTTTCTTCACTCGCAATATATATACTTTTCACCCGTTTCTCTAAAAATAGGACCATTTTCATTCATTTCAAATCATCAATTGCTTCGTGATGTGACTGGCATAATAGTTTTTCAAGCTATTTCTGTCAGAGTCACCCTAATTATACTCTATTGAATCGTTCAAGAGATGAAACACCTTTATAGTATAACACATATCATTCCTAGGAAATAATAAGATGGAGGGTGTATGAATATTCTGAAAAGTGATCCTGCAGGTTGATGAAAGCAAGAAAAATAAATACCGGCATGACTAGCTCTAAGTGACTCATTTATCGCACACTCTACATTAAATCGCAAGTGTTATTTTTAACATCCGTTTTACGTGTTTAAAGAGAGTACTCATCTAAGATTTATCAGCATTTTGAGCTTTATTAGTATCGAAGATTTATATATTTATTAACATTTTTAAAGATGTGTTTACCCTAAAATGTGTTTGTTTCGCGATATTTCTAAAGTAGAAACAAAGATTTCAACTGTCCGGAAGGGTCACCCAGACCCTTTCGCAACCGGAAGCAGATCTGTGACCACCGTACTCTCCTGTCCACGGAAACCGGACGGCCTGTCCGTCAAATCAAACAAACCCCGACGAAACCGCGCAAACCCGCTCTCTCCCGGCCGCTCCACGCACTCCCACCACATGCACGACCACATCCGTCATCTACCGCGCGGCGGCCAAACTACGCGCGTCCCGCGCGCCACCTATCGCCGAACGGCGCCGCCACGCGCGCGCCATCTGCGGTCGCGGGGCGGAAGCGCTGGGCCGGCGACGCATGCGCGCTGCCGGGGCTGTCGCGTGCGCTTCGGCGCGGCGGGCAGTTCCAGCGTGCGGGGCCATGGCGGCGAACGCGTCCGGCGCGGGAGCGGCGGGCGAGGCGGAGCTGAGCGAGGCGGAGCTAGGGCAGGTGCCGCTGTTCGTGGGGTACAGCTCCGCGCTGCTTACCTTCGCCGCCGCCAGCTGCGTCGTGTTCATCGTGGTGGGCGTGCCCGGCAACCTCGTCACCATCGTCGCGCTGCTGCGCTCGCGCAAGGTGAGTACCAGACGGACTCCGAGAGGGCGTCGAAGCGACGAGTTGCCTCTTGTGGCTTTGACCTTTCTGGGCACGTCAACAGTTGTGAGCAATGGTCCCGTTAGCGTCGTGAAAGTTTTATTATGAGAGGCGGCCCCGATGGATTTGGCGGCTGGTGTGGACCTACGCGTCGACGCGGTGTTTTCCCCAGCAAGGTCTCTCCCACCAGCCGGGACAAGCTTTAATCTACCCACCGGTCTCCCCGCATGTGTGTTAGTGAAATGCATGCGAGTGTAAGGGTGTGAGTAACGACAGTGTAGGAAAAGGAAGAGGAAGGAAAGATCGCGCGCGGTCCGTTTGTTAGGATACTTCTCGATATTCGCCTGGTGCTCGTCGTAGAAACCACGGAAAATTACCCATCAGAGCAGCTGCCCGCTAGACGTCTTCTGGAGGCAGCGAGGGAATTCTTCCCAGCTATGACGTCAGTGTCTAAAATCTGCCACTCCGAAGCCTAGAACCTCTCGGTGAGAATCGCTGCAGAGGTAGATGTCAGTCACACGCCAGGGGCAGGCCGTGGGCAGGGAGGGGGGCAAAAGCCAAAATAATGTCTCAAAATACCTTCTCATTACGTTATCACATTCGATATTTTACTGTTATGTCGTTTGACAGTATAAGTAACATTGACATTTGACAGTATGATGATACAGTGACAGTGATACTTGACAGTCGTGACATCCAGTGGGGGAAACACCGCCACCTTCGAGGATAAAACAAAACTGGACCAAAAACCATGGCGGTTGAGGTGCTCGGAATCAAGTGGTCTAACCATTTTGAGAAACCGCGAATCAATGGCGATCAGAACTCAACATCACACAACATAAATAAGACACGTCCATACAGAAGAAGGGATTCGAACCCGCGACCTTTAGAAGACGGCGCCACGTTGTGTCACATCGTGGCCTAACGTCTGCCCTGCCTGGAGACTCGCGTATTTGACGCCCTTAAACCATGAAACCGATTTCGCCACGCAATGTTTGTCTCTAGTACGTGCGGTGAGTTATTTGCTCTCACAACAGATACTTGCTATGTCGAGATAATAGTAATAGTTTCTTCGTGAATTGTGTTAAAAAGGGAAAAAAATAAAAACTGTACAAAGTTTTTAAAGTATAATTGTCTGGTAGATACTGAAAATTGTCAAAGCAATTTTTATTCTTTCGTTGGCGCTTCGCGAAGGGAAATGAAGGAAATTTCATCGAGACAGTAGAGCTATTTCTTTTGGCATTTCTTCAAGACGGGTCATCACGATAGCTCGAAGTGTTTATTTTCCCTTTCTTTTAACGACAGAATTGAGTTATTTCTTTCACGACCGACTCGTATTTTTATGATTGAGCTCAATATTTTTTCTCTCCCTAGCGCCTGACATACTGAAGTAGTAACTTCTTGTTCCTGAAGCTGGGTCATCTCCTAGCATGACCGCGAGGGGGACCACAGGCATGTAGAGTGAATGTCAACAAGACTTTAGAATAATTCCTTTTGATATGATTTTGTAGATGTTTCCTCTCGATAGGGTTTTCAACTTGAACTGCCATTACCGATCTTTTTGCTTATTACAAGGGCTGCTCTTTTACTAAAACAATGTTGGTAATTCCAACGTCTTTTATTCAGTTTTGGTATGCCACTTCCATTATTCCACGAAGTATTTATTTTCAAGGCAATATAAAATCAACATGAAGTTCTAGTATTGAATTAGGGGTTCTGCCAGCAAGTCGAATATAGAAATTCTTCTAAGATTGGGAACTTAAGTTTAAAAGTCTCTGAAACGTCTTGTAACGAACAAGACGCTTTACAGTGACCTCGATTTAACTCAGCTGCACAACCTCATCACCAAGAGATGTCCAATATACCAGCGGAAATTACTCCAGCACGCTAATCAAATGTCAGTTAATTTGCTGAACAATAGTGAATGTACATCCAGATTTCAGGGAAAAATATGTTATATTTACCTAACATTTAAAAAGAAAAATTGTTATTATTTATATCTGTGATTTTGTTATCATTTGCTGAATGTTACAAAATGAACGCATTGTAAATGAGCAGATTTGCACAAATGAAAACGAAGAATCGACCTTTTCTCGATATCATACCGGAAGAGGTGGCTCATGGTGTCAACTGATGTCGCTGCAGTGCCTCAGACCAGGAGATCCTAGGTTCGAGTCTCGACGGTGGCAGTATTTTCGATGTTAGCTAGATAGCTAGTAGGTCGATTTCAGCCGCTGTCTGGAGAAGTAAACTAGTAATCGGTTGTCGGAGGGTTCGGGTTGTCGGAGGGTTCGGGTTGTCGGAGGGTTCGGGTTGTCGGAGGGTTCGGGTTGTCGGAGGGTTCGGGTTGTCGGTCCTTCTGGTCCGGGGCGTTTTTGGGGGGCGCCCGGCAGCCGAGTGGCCTTGGCGAGCGAGTGGCGAGCGGCGCGCGCGAACCGCCAACTGGAAGCAGCTCCTCTGACGCCGGTGCTCCATCAAGCCACGCCGGTGCCGCGCCCGTTTGCTTGCTTTCCGGAAAGGGCTTTTGCGAGGCTGCGGGCGCCGAGGGGCAAACGAGCAAACGGCTCATGTGAACGCGGGGAGGTTAAGAGCAGGAAGAACGTCGTAATTTCATTGTTAGATTAATTGCATAGATAAATAATTTTGAATTAAGCAATTAATATGATGTCGATTAATTCTCCTAACTAATGCGTGATCGTTAAAATAGTTAATTTTTTATTACATTTACATGAAGTATCAACAACTTCATTACCTACTCGTAGACTACTACATTATAGTTAGATTGCAGACATTATTTTGAATGAAAACGATAATCAAATTAACTCTGCAACATACAATATTAAATCAGAATTTTGGGAGGGATAAAGTTATTATGATTATAATGTACATTATTTATGTAATTATATATGTTATATAAAATGATTACGTTATCTTGATCTTTTGATGAATGTACTCGTACAATAACACGATGTTAAGTATCTGATGGTTGAATTTGAGGCATACATTAAAGATATGATCAAAATGAAGTTTTGTATTGGAAAGATAACATATGCGAAAAGATGATTTTTGTATTAATTTGTAATGCCCAAATCTCATTCTGGAAAGAATTGCAACCAATCTGTAACCAGTTTTCTTAGTAATTGGAAAAATTAAACGGTGTATATAGATTTATCGGTGTATAAACAATCGATTTCTATTCTCCGATTAATTATGTAAAAAAAACGATCCTTCAAAGTAAACAAAACACTGAGACATCGGGAATAAACACTGCTACCGCCTCGCGTATCGTAAATGATCCTTGAGAATATGCTTCTGAGTGTCCATGAATTCTTACCAAAAAAGTAGAGTACCTTTTACGTACTCTACTTTTTTGGTAAGAATTCATGGACACTCAGAAGCATATTCTCAAGGATCATGTACGTAAGTAGTCTTGTTGAACTCATTTTCACATTAACGATTCGACTTCTATCGTCGCCTCACCTGTCTACATGTAATTTGCCCTCTTTTCCAACACAATTCCAAAGACTCTCTTTCTGTAGAACTAGTTACGGAAATACCTATTTTATAAATTGGTTATCGCAAATTCTTGGTCAATGCCTCGCCATATGCGCCGCTAGGGTAAACGCAATGCAGATGTGAAAAGTAATGTTTGTTTGTTTATTTATTAAACGTCAAAAACTGTATCTGACGTTTGGGTGGAGGAAAATATACATTTTATCTTCAGAAGCAAATCAAGAGATCATCTCGGTATTTGCGCAATAAATCAAGGGGAATTCAACAAAATCACCGATCAAGAAAGAGGGCCATTGACCCAGAAGTTGTTTACAATACTCGTTCCAGGCGTTCCCAGTTTGCTACTATTGCACAATACAATATTATTATTCAAAGCGTTAATATAATTATCACCATTATCATCTATTACTAATTTTCTTTCCGCAATTGATATTGAAAGAAACCTATACAGCCTCAGGCTACGGACGACTCTAGTAGGGTGACTAAAATTGGCCGTGCTCAGACCATGTGGAACGTGTCTGTGGTTTACATGTCGTTGGATACCTAGAAATAGTGGAGAAAACTAGGAAATGGTTTCACTTTTGATTAATGATTATGATTGATGAATTCACATGCAATACATGTACGTTATTTGACAACACCTTGCCAGATGACATTAAGCGATTAAATTCGATACAACAGTTTAAGTCCCAAGTGAAATAGTTTCTCTTGCACAACTATATCTATGCAATTAGACTATACCTAGCATCCAAAAGGAAAGTTATATTAATTTTAACAATGATATTTAAAGTATTATTTACCATTTGGATTGTGTAATTCTAAAGAACCAGTAACGTTGTATATACTTCAGCTTCTGGGTCAATGACCCCCCATCTCGAATAGGTTTTCGTCTAGTTTCCCTGATCCTGGAGCAAATGCTGAGATGGCAGCTTGTTCTGCTTCGGAGCGTAAATGTTATTTCAAATTAACTTCCCCCATAGCACGTCACACACAATTTTTAACTGTTTTTGACGTAAATAAATAAATTAAAAAGATGCCAATATTTGGTTGGATTGTTCCGCTTATTCTCGTAGTGTACCTACAGACTAAATTTTCGTACTTGCAAACATTGCGTCACTTTTTACAAAACATCTGATGACACGAGTCAGAAAGGCTCCAAGGAAAGGGGCGCCCGCCATTAAATATTTGGTATTAACATTTTTAATTATGGACAACGACTTTTTGGATACTCTTGGTCAGTAATGAATGCTCAAAGATGTGTTGCACCCAATATACTATGCTACACTAAGTTATTGCAGTATCTGTGAGAACTGTTTTTGTTGAAATAGTTGATTCATTTCAGTGGTGTGTAGAGAGTATAACGACTTCTAGGTGTTTAGTTGTATGTGTGTTTTCTTGAGCAGTGTGAGTGCTACTTTTTGAGAAACCATTTTGTGTGGATTTACTCCGCAGCATTTTGCCATCAATATACAATATGAAGTCAATTTGGTTCCAACTTCTTCTTTTTCTTCTTCTTCTTTTTCTTCTTCTTCTTTTTCTTCTTCTTCTTTTTCTTCTTCTCTTCTTTTTTTCTCTTTTCTTCTGTTCTTCTTCTTTTCTTCTTTCTTCTTCTTTTTTCTTCTTCTTCTTTCTCTTCTTTTTCTCTTCTTCTTCTTCTTTTTCTTCTTCTTTCTCTTCTTCTTCTTCTTTTTTTCTTTCTTCTCTCCTTCTTCTTCTTCTATTTCTTCTTCTCCTTTCTTCTCTTCTCTCTTTTTCTTTTCTTCTTTTCTTCTTCTTCTTCTTCCTTTCTTTCTTTTTTTCTTCTTCCTTCTTCTTTTTACTTTTTCTTCCTTCTTCTTCTTCTTTTCTTCTTTTTTCTTTCTTCCTTCTTCTTCTCTTTTTTCTCTTTCTTTTTTTCTTCTTCTTTTTCTTCTTCTTTTTCTTCTTCTTCTTCTTCTTCTTCTTCTTCTTTCTGCTTTGGCTCCTGTCATTATAACAGGCAAATTCTTCTGCCTTGTGCTTTTCTTCACCATCTTTTAACAGCTAGGTTTCTCAAATCTTCCTCCACTTCATA